CCGGTGGCGGCGGCAAAACTTTCTCCTCGTCGCGTCGGCGGTGGCGGAATCGCGGCCGCCCTCGACGCGTCAGGCAGGCGGCCAGGAGGTCGCGCGGCGGGTCCCTCCCTCGGCCCCACCCCGGGCCGCCGACCTGGTCCGGCTCCGATTCATAGTCGTCGTCCTCGGCGCTCACGGACATGGCCATGGCTCATGGTGGGCCCAGGCTCGCGCGCGCTGACATGGCCGAGCGCCGCTGCCGCTGCCGCTGCCGCTGCCGCTGCCGTCGCCGCCGCCGCCCGCCCGGAGCAGGCTCGGCTCGCCCAGGCTCGGCCTCGGGCTCGGGCTCCCGCCGCCGCCGCCGCCGCCGCCGCGAAGAGGGAGCCACTGCGCGCCTCGCACGCCCGCGCGGGAGGGGACGGGGCGGGGCCGGCCGGGGCGCTCATGCATATGCATGAGGCGAGCCAGGAAGGGGCTGGCCCCCCGGGCGGGCGGGCCAATGGCGCGGCCGCGGCGCTCGGGCTGCACACAAAGGGAGCTTGGCCTGCGGTGACACAGGGGCGGGCCCGCCAAGGGCGGGCCCTCGCGGCCAGCGCGCCGGGACTGGGGCTGCGTGGGGGCGTGCCTCGCGCCCCGCCCGCCCAGGGATGCACATGGGTGGCTGCACGCTGCGGCCGTCGCCGTCGCCGCTGCAACAGGAAATGCACGCCGGGCCTGGGGTGGGGTCTTTTGTGTAGTGCTCGGGATCCCTGGGGCACACGAGCCATGGGGTAATGGGGGGACAGCCCTGCATGTGACGCCAGGCACAGGTCTCTAGGCCTTCTGCAGCGGGCACACGGGCTACCGTGTCTGCGCTCGCTCCGGGAGCAGGTCCTGATGATGCCTGCGAGCTCGACAGCCCCCTACCCGGAGCCTACAGGACCAACACCTGGAAAAGATCTGGGCGCCCGCTGTCCCGGACTCGGCTTGCCTATACAGGTCGCGATGCAGCGTTAAACGTGGGGTGGTGCAGGCTCGGGCTGCCAGGCTTGGGGGCTGTCAGAATGCATAGGACTCTGTCCTGAAGTGGGCGCCCGATCTTCTTGGAGGGACTCCCTCCTTCCTGCAGCCCGCCTCAGAAGGACTGAGGGCTTACAGGCCGGCTCCCTAGGTTGGCCAGGAAGGTGTGTGGGTTTGTAGGTTTCTGAATTCTTAAACGCGAAGGCTCCTAGAGCTTACTCCCAAAACAGCCCACTCCTGCAGAAAATTGTTGCTAGAAATCCAGACGGATCTTCATTTCAGAAGAAAGTATCGGGCACTTAAGAGGCATCAGAATCATAGTTAAACACCAGCCACACAGTGGGGATGACTCAACTGGGCAGTTGGTGCACAGATCCACTGCCCCCAGGACACTGAACCTGCATAAATGTACCTGCTCAGTTTCTCCATTAAAAAATAGTAAAGACTTAGGAAGGGATGGGTAACCTTCTTTTAGGCTTTCCCAAGAATAAGCTCATTAGCTGTGACCTCAGGTGACCAATTCTGCAACAGCCATCCCACTGTTACTCATGGTCAGGCCACCAGCCACAAAATCTATGATGAACAGAAAGGATCTGCAGGCTGGTCATAGCCTAGGGTTTCAGAGAAGGCAGTGTGTGTGGCGAAGACCCTGTAAATAAAACTCAGGAGGCTTCTTTCTAGCAGAGTCGGTAGGAGTGAATAAGCAGGGATGTCAGTTTTACTGAGTAGATTTTAAAGTCTGTGAAATTTATACACCCACTAACACTACGGAAAAAATCCCAGCAGACTCCTCTTTACCGAAACAATATCTGTTTTGAATTTCCTTCTTCCCCTCTTGTATTTTCACAACCACTCAAGGTTACAACAAAAACAACAGGAAAAGAACACACACACACACACACACACACACACACACACACACACACCCCCATCCCTGGAGCTCCAAAGGTTGGGATTCTACAAGCTCTCTTATCTGGACTGAAGTCTGTCTCTGAGCCTTAGGGATCACCCACCCAGTTGGAAGGGGCTGGTAAAATGCTTACTAGGGAATGTAGGTGAAGTTCAATGCTAAATGCTTACCTAGCACACACCAGGCCCTCAGCATCACAATATTAAAAGAAAAAAACCTTGAGTGATGGCGCATGCCTGTAATTCCAGCACTCTCTGGAGGCTGAGGCAGGGGGATCACCGTGAGTTTGAGGCCACCCTGAGCTACACAATGAGTTCAAGGCCAGCCTGAACTACACAGTGAGACTCTATCTCAATGAAACCCAAAAAATAAAGAAATAAAATTAAAAAGCTAAGCTTGCTTTCTTTTCCTTCATGGTAACTGATCAAACATGAAAGGGTACAGAGACCCAAATGACAAAACCCATCATCAGGAAAGTCTGGAAGCAGGAATTCTCCTCACAGTTCTCTCATATGAATCGGGAGCACAAGTGTATTTAACAGAATTGCCTTGGGGCTGATTTCCTCCAAGGCTTTTCAAAAGTTCACTTCTGTATTTAAGGAAGTAAACCGACACAGTGCTCAATGACCACAGCTCAAGAAGAGAAAAGGAAGTCGTGGACAGATGCACTTCCTCCCACTGCTTCATGTCCGGTTTACAAGGGGCCTCCAAACATCCCTGACTTTCCCAGGTGAGGAAACAGACACTCAAGGAAAACTCTCAAATCCAGGGTTCCTCAGAGAGACCATCAGGGAGAGACCCCTCGGGTCCAGGCAACACCAGCAGCTGACAGTCTGGCAGGTTCGAAGGCCGCACCCTTATTACATGCGCTATGGCCATGACCTCATTGAAGGTCCAGGGTACCCCGTTTGACAGAAGAGGAGACTGAGGCACACTGCTGTTAGGAACTGAAAGTACCCAGATCCAATGCTGTAGGCACCTGGGGCCTGGACTCCGGACCACACCACTCCAGCACCTTGTGGCAGAAGCAACAGGGCAGAGGGTGTCAGAAAAGAGTCCGCAGACATAAGCCCAAAACCCCAAACTATCCCTTACCAGAGAGTGCGGATTTTGTATTCTTGGCTCCAATCGGATTCCACAGCAGGCAGGTATGATTTGGATGGCCAGCCTGCTCGCCGATCTGTCCACAGGAGCCTGGAAGTTAATACACTGTGTTCTCTCCGAAAACCCCTCACCAATCTTCCTCTGAGGAGTGTCCTCGAGAACACTCCTTCCTCTTATCTCCTCCACCAAGCTGCCCTTACTTAACCGGTGTCTGCGATCACCGAGCAACTGCTCTGTATTGATAGTGCACCAGGCTGTGGAGAAGACGCAAAGGAGGCCAAGCCTTGCCCAGCAGAGTTCCCACGTTAACCACAAATCTCCCTCACGACCTCATCCACGAGTGACAGGAAGAACAGAACGCCCCCTGCTCCACAGACGAAAAACTTCTCACATTCCTAGAAAGAGCTCCTAGTGCTGATGTCACCAGGCAGCTGGTGCTTGCCCCAAGCCAGGAGGATCCAGAACTTTCACCATGTGGTGGGGAAATAAACAGAAACAGATGGATGCCAAGTCCTCCTGTCACAGGCGCCACCCACTGCCCTGCTTGCTGGACATCACCCTGTTTTCTGCACTGCCTAGCAGAGCCTGGGATGGTGGGAATTCCCCACTCCCCAGCCCTCTGGTGGCCCAGAAAGTCTCCCTAGACTTGGCCTTGTTCCAGTGCAAGGACAGACAATGTGCCAAGGGGAAAGGAAGAGGACAGGGAGAAGTATGATGCCCAAAAAAGTAAGGGAAGCCGGGCATGGTTGCACATGCCTGTAACCCTAGCACTCAGGAGGCTGAGGCGGGAGGATTGTCACAAGTTTGAGGCCAGCTTGGACTATCTACAGTGAGGTCAAAAAACAAGAAACAACAACAGCAAAAAAAGGGAGGCTTAAATGGTGGAATATCAACAATATGAAAAACAATGAAGCAGCAGGACTTGTATACCTGAGATTTATTAGGCTTATAAAGCAAATAACAGGGCCGGGGATTTAGCTCAGTGGTTTCGCCGCCTGCCTGCCTTGCAAGCACAAGGACCCGGGTTTGATCCCCGGTACCAAAATAAATAAATAAATAAAGCAAATAATAGAAAGAGATGCATAAAACGTATTATCTAATATTTAAACATGCACCTATAAATATGGTACTACATACACCACTGATTCATATTTGTATGTGTACGTTAATCTACAATAAAACATCTGGATACATTAACTCCTAATTAATACAGCAAAGAAAGGATTAGGGCAATGAAGGACAAAAGGACCAGGATTGAGAATGATAGGAAAGAGGATCTGGGTCTACAGGGAATGAAAACAACTCTCCTTGTGTCAAGCCCAGTGACTGGCAGGTGCCCTCCTGAGCCAATGGAACCTTAGCAGGGGACAGAAATGATTGGGCATGCTCGCAGAGGGTCATTCCCAAGGCAGGCCATGATTTATGCTCAACAAGCAACAGAGAATGTGCGCTGAGGTGATTTTACCATTTGTCTCTGTTCTTCAATAGGCTTCCCCTGGCTTACCAGCAGGTCTTTTGGAGCTACTCTTGGAATACAAAGGAAGTAAGGAATTTCTAAATCTTGTCCCATCACAAGTTAGGACTCTAGCCTCTAGCCAGCGATTTAGCTCAGTGGTTTCGCAGCCTGCTGCACAAGCGCAAGGACAGAGTTCGATCCCCGGTACCAAAAACAAACAAACAAACAAATAAGTGAGGACTCTTGGTTACATGGATAAAACCATGGCCCAGAGAGTAATGCTTCAACTGGCAAAGGGTTACAGTGATTTCTCTTAAGGAATTCATTGTTAAGAAAGTTACTGATGTCATTTAATTGCTTTTTATTTTCTCACTAGAGAGAGCCATTCTGCAAGCATTTTAACTCGCCCCTCCCCCCAAACTGCTGGGTGTGGTGCTGTATAGTTGTAATCCCAGCATTCTGGGAGGCTAAGGCAGGAGGAACACCACTTTGAGCCCAACCTGGGTGGCTCAGCAGTTTAAAGAGATCCAGTCTCAATAAAAATAAGATAGGTATGGCAGTTCACACCTATAATCCCAGCACCTGGGAGGCTGAGGCGGGAGGATCATCATGAGTTCCAGGCCCACCTGGCCTACTTAGCAAAGATCCTTTCTCAAAAATACAGACAGAAAAATAAAAAGGAAAAAAAAAAGGAGGGGGTGTGGCTCAGTGCAAAGGCCCTGGGTTCAATCCCCAGTACCACAACCAAACCAAACAACCTCCACAAATGTTTGTCATGCTAGTCCTCTAAACAGACCAAGTTTATGCACTGGAATGTTTGCAACCATCCACAGGATGTTTAAAGTTAACTAATTTAGCAGGCGACTGGCACTGATTGGAGAAATGCTTTTTTCTGCTATCCATCCCATTTCCAAGGCCTTTCCTGATCTTAGAGAGTTACTTCTGCTCTTTATTCACTTCCCTAGCAAATGCCAACCTAGGCTGAGCACTCCTCACAGGGCCTGGACCAGGTGAGCAGGTCCTCGGTGCAGCTCTCTCCTCAGGGCTGGGGATGCTACTGGGAGCAGCCGCTGGCCTAGTTTGCACAGACCCTGGGCTTGGGCCTTGGCACTGTGCCAAAACACAACTACAAAATCTTAATCACCCTCCCACATAAAACCATATGCACAAAATGCCAGCATAGGGGCTGGGGATTTAGCTCAGTGGTTCAGGCGCCTACAGTGCAAGTGCAAGGTCCCGAGTTCGATCCCCAGTACCAAAAACAAAATGCCAGCATCACTGAGCCTACAATAGAGATTTTTTTTGAGACAGTCTCACTATGCAGTTCAGGCTGGCCTCAAACTCAAGAAAATCCTCCTGCCTCAGCCTCCCTAGTGCTGGGATTACAGGCCTGTGCCACCAAACCCAGCTTTAAGATTTTTTTTTTTTGGTATGGGAGATGCAACTCAGGTCCTTGCGCTTTCGCAGCAGGTGGCGAAACCACTGAGCTAAATCTCTGGCCATAGCTTTAAGATTTTTAAGAAAATATAAAAATATTTTCTTAGGGCCGGGGATTTAGCTCAGTGGTTCCACCACCTGCCTCACAAGTGCAAGGTCCTGAGTTCAATCTCCAGTGCCAAAAAAAATGTTTTTTTCTTAACAAGACCAAATCTCCCCTTTAGTCTCTGTGCTAGCTACCTAGAATGGGTGTCATGCTGTCCCACCACTCCTGCCAAAATAAGACTGGAGAAATGGGATCTAAAGTTCTATAAAACTTGGACACGCGCACACACACACACACACACACACACACACACACAAAAGACCAGTCAGGCATGGTGGTGCATGCTTATTCTTAGCCCTCTGGAGGCTGAGGCAGGAGGATCATCACAAGTCAGAGCCCAACCTGTTGGGGTTGGGCTACCCAGAAGTTCAAGGCTAGCCTGAACTACATAGGGAGGGAGACTCTGTCTCAAAAAACCCCCCCAAAAACCCCAAAACCAAAAACAAAAGGAGCCTTACACAAAGGCCACATATTGTATGATCCCATATTTATGAAACACCCACAAACGAGAGTTTATGAAGTAGATTCGCAGATGCTGGGGAGAGGGGAGGGGCCCGGGGGCAGCTGATGGGTGGGTGGGGGAATATTCCCAAGTAGAAGGAAGCAATAGTTGTGCCACATTGTAAACGTACTAAATGGCATTGAATTGGTCACTTTATAAAGTGGTTAATTATAAAATAAGGTAAATGTTGTTCAATAGAAGGTGTATTATATTTGTATTGTATACTATACACAAACACACGCACGCAGAGACACACACAGACACACACACGCACGCACGCACACAGAGACACAAACACGCACGCAGAGACACACAGACACGCACACACACAGACATACAGACACACATGCACGCACGCACGCAGACACACACACAGACACGCACGCAGGCAGAGATACACACACAGACACACACACGCACGCACGCAGAGACACATACACAGAAAACACAGGGCCCCGCTCTTCCCGGGTTAGTCACGCTGGTCAAAATGGAGGCAAAAAAATTATATCCACAACCTGAGGGTGAGAATAAGCCAAGCCTCTCCCCCTTTTGAATGAACTTTCTTTGCTCCTCAAGGGTGGGGCCGTCCTCCCCTGAGGCTCAGGCTCCCTCTCCTAAAAGGCAGCCTAGCTAGGAGCCAGGCAGCAGAAATAACCAAACCCAAGAGCCACTTCAATCACCTCTGGAACGAGCTGCTAATGGTCACTGCGGGGGGCTGACGGGACCCTCAACGCTCCCAGCCTCTCAAATACACAAGGCTCAGAGGGGTAGGACGGAAAACTAACACCGACCTGCGGGGGCCCTCTCTCCTGCTTCGGGCCTCTCTCTCTTCATTAAAAAAAAAAAAAAAAAGGCTCCAGTGGGCTAATTTGCCTCTAAACCCCACTCTGGATTGATCACAATGCACTACACTCAAATCAGAAAATCCCTGACCACACTCATCTGTCAGCACCTGAAGAGTCTACTAAGCCAAAACCTTCCTTTAAACACAGGCATTTAAAGAGACATCAGAAGAAGTGTGTTTTGTTTTGTTTTGAGATAAGGTCTCACTATGTAGTTCAGGCTGGTCTTGAACTCACTATGTAGCCCAGGCTGGCCTCAAACTCAAGGGATTCTCCTCCCTCAGCCTCCCAAGTGCTGGGATTACAGGCTTGCCAGGCGTGCATCACCATACCTGCCCTAGGAGCAAATTTAAGAGAGGCCAAGGTTGCCAGCTGGCTCACATAAAAGGAGGAAGGATGAGCTCCAAAGATCATCCTGCAGCTCTGGATAAAATGATTGAAGCTGGTTGTGGTGGTGCACGCCTATAATCCCAGCACTTGGGAGGCTGAGGCAGGAGGATTACCAAATTTGATGCCAGCCTGGGCTACAAAGTGAGTTCAAGGCCAGTCTAAACTACAAATCGAGACTCTGTCACACACACACCAAAAAAAACAGAAGAAAAAAAAATTGATAGAGGAACAAATGATCAAAACGTGAAGCTAACAAGGAATGGTTGGCAGAACAGGACAACACAGACCCATTCAGGTTTTCAGGAAGAAGAGAATAAATGAATAACAGAGGATTGCACTGCCATCACTTTAACCAGC